AAAAAATAAAATCAGGCAAAGAAAACTACTGGTTTTCTTTCCCTTTCTTTCCCTTCTCTCTTCCATGCATAGATTTAGAATGAGAGTCATTGTGTATATACTATTTTTTATCCTGCTCGATTCACTATGAAGAATTTTCCCTTCGGCATGAAAAATGTCATCCCACACATCATCTTTAATGACTCTTTGAGACTCCTACTCAAAACTAACACTTCGACAGCATTTACTGTGTGCCAGGCACTATTCTAAGCTCCTTATATGTATTAACTAATGTGCTATCTTCAAGCACCCAGTGAGGTAGAAGCTCTTATTATCTTCAGTTCATGGATGAGGGAACCGAGAAACAAAGAGGTCAAGTGCCTCGCCAAGATCATAAGGCTGAGAAGTGGCAGAGCCACAATTCAAGCCCAGGTTCTAGGTCCTTAATCACCAAATTGTATCTGTTCCTTTATACACATATAACGTGGCTCATTTAACGAATCCTCTGGTGTATTTAAGCCATTTCTAGTTTTTCTCTTATAAATGGAAATCTGTTTCTTGACATTCGTCATAATACATCAAGCTGCTCAATCCTGCCATGGACGCTGCATTTGCTGTTATAATGGGTAGAATGTTCATTCGGTAAGCTGTTCTTGGGCCTCCACAATCTGGCTTCTTTGTCAGCTCTGTAGTACCAGAGGGGGACGATTTACCTCTCCTCTCCCGGAACTCAACAGGGCTTCTTGTGAGAGGCTCAGCGGGGCTAACACCCACCCACCAAACACAGGCAGGCCTCGTGGGAGGTGTAGGACTAATTGGTTTTGTCTGCCGGGCATGCGCGTGGTGCAGGCTGCCAGATGGTGGCCACAGTTGCTTGGTAGGGAGACCTTCATTACCACCTTGACTAAGTGGCAAATGGAATCGTGCCACAGTTAGAGAGACAAACCAGTCAGAACTCCTTCTAGATCCTTATCACTCTCACAGAGATGAAAATAAGCTTTCCCGACTGGGACATAACAGGCAATCTGGACCAGCTGAATTTGTTCCAAAAGAGAAGTTGCTGATGAGGACTGAGCTAACAGGAGTAGGATGAGCAAGTGTCAAATTCTCTTGCAAATCACAGATTAAGTTCGAAGAGTATCATTGGTAGGAGGTAAGTAAAACTGAAAATATTAAGAGAATCCATCATTTTATGTATATAACAGTAAGATATCTTAGAAATCAACAAGTACAAACCTTCATTTCACAAATGAAGAATGAGAGGTCCAGAGAGCTTCACTGGCTTGTCTGAGGTCTCGCAAGAGAAGAGCTGACTCCCAGCCCTAGCATGTTTTGCTTCCAAATTCTGCGCCTTATGGGTAAGTCTGAAAAAAATATATACAAGTATTGTTTATATTGTTTCTCAGAAGCCTCAGCTCTGCCTTCTCTCAGAAGAATTAAAAAAGAATGTGTGACTAGCAACAAACTCAGTAGCACAGTTTCAGAAATAAAATTAGAGTGTTCTTTTTGCATCTGGCAGCATGAAAAGGAAAGTGTTAGTGCTTTAATTTTAATACTTATCACAGTTGAGTGGTAGGGTGTTCTCTTCAAATCCCCTTTGCATGGTTGTTTTTTTTTTTTCTTTTTCATTCTTTGTAATAGCCCTGTGAGGTAGGTAGAGGCACATGATATTAACCTCATTTTATAGATGAATAAACAGACATCAAGGACATTTCTTTGTGGCTATGCATTCACAGCCCAGACTCAACATGTTCGGAGCAGACCCTTTGATCCTGCTCCTTGTCCCATAGTCTGTGTCTCACAGAATGGTCCCAGCAAGAAACCTGGACATTCTTTCCTTGTCTCTCTCCCTGACTCTGATATCCAACCAATCACTGGGTTCTTTAAATTCCACCTCCTTCATGTCTCTCAAAATGTTCTCCTACATTCATTTCATCTGTCCTTACCCAGGTCAGACCAACACTCTTTCTCATCAGGGAGATTTTAATTATCTTCAAGCTGACTTTCCTGTCTCTGAGCATCCCTCATTGTGTCAGTCAGTTATACATACTGCTGTGTAACAAATTGCCCCAGTACTCAGTGGTTTATAACCATAATCATTGATGTTCACATGTATGAATGTGAGCTAAGGTAGCTTTTACTTATCTCAGTTGGGCTTGGCTGGGTTTGGTTCCACACTGTGGATTTGGTTTAGGTTTGCTCTGTCTTTTTATTGTTCTGAATTGAAGAGCCCAATGCATATGCTCATCATGATAGAAACATTTTAAGAGGACAAACTCAACCATACAAGTATATTTTAAGTCCTCGTTTGTGTCATATTTACTGACATTCCATTGGCCAAAGCAAGCCTCATGGTAAAGTACAATGCCAGCAGAGCAGGGATATATATGCTACCTCTTTTAGGAGGAACTTCAAAACCATTGATCA